TTTTTTTTTTTTTTTTTTTCTTTCCCTGCCTGTTGAAAATTGTGTCTGCTATGAAAAAAACAAAGCAAACCCCTACTCCCTCACTCAAAGAAAAATCCTTTTTCCCTGTTTTGCTTTTGGGTTTGCTTTTTTTTTTTTTTTTCAGTTAAATGTTGGGAAAAATTTAAAAAACAAATCCTGGGTGACTTTTGGGCTGTAGATGAAAAGTTGAATATTTCCTCAAAAGAAAAGATCCATTTCTTTGTTAACTTCAACCTTTTGCCAGACAATTTTAGGTGAAAACCCTGATACCAAAGCAAGAAGGGAAATAAATTATATTTTTTTTTCTGTGGGGAAGTTACAGGATATGGCAGGAATGGAAAAGGGGTCCTGCAGGGGGGAGGGATAGCTTCTTTCCTTTTTTGGAATTTGTTTTTCTTGTTATTGTTGTTGTTAATTGCATTATTAGGTTGATTTATTCCCTTAAAATTTGGCTTTAAGTAGACACTGAACGTTGTCCCAGCCGGCAGCGTTTCAGAGCATCTCCATTTTAATGGGGTGTTATAAAAAGATGCCACATAATCTAACATTTGTGCAATATTTACGCCATTCCAAGTGCAATCACGGGTAGATTTTAATTACTGGACTACACAGATAATTACAACTCCTTTAAAGTGTTGAATTGTCACGAGGGAACAAATTGTCCAAACGATGTTTTAAAGTCTGGACCAGCCCCATTACCCACCATGGAAATTACTGCCTTGATGCATGGTTACGTGACTCCTTAATTATTGAGCTGAAAGCCCCCTGTTGCAAATAGAATTGTTCTGTTTGCAGGATATTAAATAGTAACCAAAAAAAAAAAAAAAAAGGAAAAAAAATTCCACCAAAATTGAACTCTTAGGATCATAAAGAAAAAATCCTCCTGAACTGAACTGGGGTCATAAATATATGTGAGCAAACTCCATAAATATATGTGAACGAACTCCTATAGCCTGTCCAGGCAGTGTTTTGATATTTCCCTTCAATAATGTGTTGCCCAAAGCATCCATTTTATTCTGTCTATATGTGATGATGGAAAAGGGGATCTGACTTGCAGAAGCAAATTTTCGTCTCGTTTAAATGCAGGTGGCTCCTTGCTCCTCCATGCTGGGCCAGGGTGTGTCCATACACATCTCCATAGGGGTTGTGTACTTCACCTGCACGCTATAGAGCGGGTGTAGGGGTAGGTCCGTGTGTCCTCCCAGCAGACCCACGCACTGGTTGGGGACTTTGCCCATTTTGGACACAGGTTGGAGTTGGTGGGGCTGCAGGTTGGACGTTCTTGGGTACGTTCACTGGGGGTATGGATGTTGCTCCAAGGATTCGTGGTCCTCGGGGTGGCTGGTGACACGATGGTGGCTTTGTCCCATCGCAGAGACACCAGCTGAGCAATGTTTTTCTTTCTGTTGCAGCTGGCGCTGAGGGGACCAGCGGGTCCCATGGGTCTGACGGGGCGGCCGGGCCCCATGGTAAGTGAAGGGGCGAGCGAAGGTGGAGCAGAGCCGGCTCTGGGGGGGCTCTGGGGTACCCGCGTGGATGGCTCGCTCTTGACATGGTATGAATCTTCTCTCTGGCTCTGTTGGGGGAAAAATATAATAAATCATGTTCTCTATCCAAAGGGACCCCCGGGCAGTGGCGGACTAAAGGGAGAAGCTGGAGAAATGGGACCCCAAGTGAGTGTGGGCAAACTGGGGGGGGGTGGGGGAACTGAAGGCGTGGAGCAGCCAGTCCTGCTTTAGAGGGTGTTCTGAAGGAGTGATTCGGTAACTCAATGCCAGCTGAAAGTGGAAAGGTGTGAGAACATCTGTTTTGCATATAAATGTTCCTCCAAGTGTCCAAATGCAGACTCAAGACATAATTTGAAGCCAACAGTGTAAAATTCTGCAGGTGATAGTCCTTTCCTGCCCAGGGGTTCGTGGAGGAGTCCTGTAAATAGGAGACAGGTTGGAACGTGAGGAGTTCTCTAATGCTCAGGAAATTGTTCTTCCAAGCTGTGCATCCTGCATGAAGGGAAAATTCCCATTTTCTAATGGTGGGGGAAGTGATTTTTCTCCACCGTGTGGAGCTGCTTGCAGGGCAAAGGCTTCCTCATGGATAAATGCCTGCAGCTCCTGTTTGGGAGATGCTCAGTCCTGAGCCCTTCCTGCGGATTTTGGACCATGGGCTCTGCTTGAGGGGTTCATGTCCCATTTTGTAGCCCCGCTGATCCTGACAGCCCCAGTAACGCCTGACCCCAGCAGGCACTGGCTCCGTCTGTCGTGCCTTTGGGTGACGGTGTTTCTCCCTCTCTCCTTGGTGCCTTGCAGGGTCCACGAGGCATCCAGGGTCCTCCCGGTCCGGCAGGAAAACCAGGCCGTCGGGTGAGTGTCCCGGGAGCTGCACTGCCGACTGCATTAACTACAATTTCTGCTAGGAATCGTTTCTGCTGCCAAACAATTTCCGAGCGCCGAGGGCGTTGCACAAGAGCAGGCGGGGGGCCAGCCAGGGGCTCGTCCAGGAGCTCTCCGTCCATCTGGGCAGGCAGAAACGAGGATGGGAGTTAAAAGGCGGGTGGTGTGGGGAGGACTGTAAGGCCACGCTTCCCGCTCTTTTGTCTTCATTTTTTTTTTTTTGAGGTTGTAGCTGCACAAACGCTCTGGGCTGGTTTGGACAGTCCCCAAGTCTCGATAGAGCGCGAGGAGAATCCAGCCCCCAGAAGGTTTCTGGAGCTGCTAGAAGTTGTACTCACTGGCTCTGTCGACATCCCTGATGATGATTTTTATTTTATACCATCCTCTGGCTTGCCAGAGGAAGAAACAAGAAAGTCCTTTGTGTGAACCACTTCTGGCTTTCTTTAAAAAAAATTTTTATCTCATTTCAATTGATGGATGTTGTCATTAGCATATCTTAAAATGTGCTGGAAGATAATTATTTCAAATTAAAATCAATGACCATGTCCCAGCATCCCGCACAGTGAAGCAGCTTTGCTGCCATTTGCTCAGACCCCTCATTAGTGCTGGGCTGAGCCCGGGATGCTGCTTCAAAACCAGACCTGCGTTTTTCCCTCGCCAAGGGAAGCTGCTCCCCAGCCGGCGAGCTCCGACTTAAATAAAACCTCGCTCGGCACCAGACCAAAGAGCAGATGTCCCTGCGGTTCTGCCTTACCCTTTGTATCTGACTTGGCTTTTCTCTCTTGCAGGGACGAGCTGGCAGCGACGGTGCCCGGGGGATGCCAGGCCAGACGGGACCAAAGGTAGCGCCATGGGTTTCTGTGCTTTTGGAATCAGCGTCTGCTTTTTGGCAAGGATGAGCCGAGGGACCCTTGGCAGAAGGAGCCCACCTTGCTTGGAGGAGGTTGTTGAAAAAGTCCAGCAGCTCCTGTGAAGTCATCATGGGCTCCACATTTGAGAGAGGGAAATTAAACACACACCTAAGAGGCAGAATAGCAATCTTTCTTTCTTGTCTTTTCCTTTTTTCTTTTTTTTTTTTTTTTTTTGATGCAACTTTTAAAAATTACTGGATCCTCTTATGAACGAAATGTGCTCCCTTGGCTGCAGTTGTAGAACAAATACTTTGGAATCTCAATTATGAAAAACAAACATGAATGAGTGGTTGGAAACGTCCTAAAATATAACTACCAAAAAAATACCTATTATCTGGGTGAGGAAATGTAGGAGGCGTGGTGAGGAATTTTAATGCCCTGTATTTTTATCTGAGACAAAATCCCTTCATTCAGCTGTGATCTGCTGGTATTATCAAGCAAGAAAGAAGCTGTTCCGCTGAAATGGAATGCAGAGGAAGTTTGCTCAGGGAATCATGTGTTAGAAGGTTTAAGTACTTTATTATGTAGATACTCAAAGCTGGAATAGATGGGGGGTTTTGATACAGAAACAGGAGACTGCGAATCGTTTATCCAGTAAAGTGCTTTAATGAGCGTCGACTGCCCTCAAAGGAGCAGATACCAGGGAGGAAGGGAAAACAGAATAACGAGCAGTGCTGGAAAGGAAGGAGAAGGAAGTTTGCTGTGAGCAGAGACAGAGTGATGCCCCAGGACCTGCTGGTTGCCCCGGGCGCAGCTCGGCCAGGCTGGGCTCTCCTCTGAGCCACCCAGGTGCAATGGGCTTTCCTTGCTCACAGCTGAAGGATTTGTGGAAGGGAGGAGCTGGTACTATTTTGACATACCATCTGAATGTGAAAATACAAGTGGTTTCACTTCTTTATAGAAAAAATGGGATTTTTTTGTCTGCTTTCTGCCCTGGGTGTCAGGGGACGGTGCCACCCACGATTTACAAGCCCCAGTGAGTCTTCTCGCTTTTCCAAAGAGCTGAGGCTTTCAGGAAAAGGCTGTCTCTGTGCATTTCTATCCTCCTTCCCCCCCAGAACACAGGAGATCGGAACAGGGCACAAGTTTGGAGAGGAACAGCCCTGTTGTGCCTTGCCATTGTTCACCATGAGCTTTCCCATCCCGACCCGGAGCAGCTGTGTGGCGCAGGCAAAAGGTGGCTCCTGCCGCCCGCCTGCTCTCAGCACTGCTGGGGTTTTGCTTTACAATTGGTGTTTGCAATTCCATGGAATTTAAAAAAAAAAAAAAAAAGTTGGAGTAGAAGAGCCTGTCCAGAAGTGAGATGCTTTGGGTCGTGGAGAAGTCACCCAGAGAAGCTCTGAAATCCTCATGGAAAAACTTTTAAAGCCACAGGTGCCGAGGGAAGAGGGAGGAGTTAAAATGACTTTGAGCTTTTTCTTTTTTTTAATCTATAACTTCGAAATTATTGCTGGTCTGATGGGAGGTGAAGGCTGAATGTCTGAGGGAGAAAAATCAATCCCTCCTTGGCACAGAAAGGAATCAAATTGGAAAATTATTCAACAGTGGGTGGAAACATGTACTAAACTGGTTTTTCTTTCAGGGTGACCGAGGGTTTGATGGCTTGGCTGGTTTGCCTGGTGAGAAGGGAAATAGAGTAAGTTATCTTCCGCTTGTCTTCTGGCCGTTGTCTGTAATGAAACCTTGGCAGGAGGAGGC